ATAAATAAAAAAGATAAAATACATTTTGCATGCTTGTCGCACAAAGCCGCCGCTCTCATATCGCTAAGCTTTATAGTCCCTTTACTGCTACTGTACATAAAAAGGTTGCAATGGATGGGGTGAAACTCCGCAGCGGTAATAACCTCGGTCAGTTCTTCCATATTTACCGGCTTAATATCAACAATATCTAAAAATTTGGTTCACAGTGAAGGAATCTTAGAAAGCACAAAATTAAGAACTATAAATGGCTAAGTTAACAAGATCGGTTAAAGATTAAAAGGATACTAAAACTTTGATCGCTAATGTTTAAATTCCAAAGATTAATTCTTAAGTCATCGGCAGATATATATGTTTCACCGTCAGAGTTAATGGATATGGAATTAATATGATAAGCATGAGCATTAGCATATACTTTGCGAGGAACAGCTGCAATGATTGTGTCATGATGTGTAAGTTTTGGTAGTCTCAAATGTTGAATTTTTCCATTTTGAGGTCTCGAACCATCACTCAGATTATTTTCAGCCACCACTTTTAGAGATTTTTCGAAAACTTTCCAAAGTTTGATGGTTTTGTCTATGAATTCAACAAAAAAATAAAAAAAATAAAAAAATAAAAGTATTTATTTTTACATACAATATATTAAAAAGTGATAACAGACCCTAGGAAAGTATTCAATAATTATAAGACAGACCATTCGTTGATAATAAAAAATGTGCAGCATTCTGTCGCTTGCACCATTTGATCTTATTGATCTTTTCTTCGATTTCCAAACTTTTTAAATAGTCAAATTCGGGTTCGTGCGATTGAAATTCCGTATAAAATTTGTATTCACAACCTTTTTTCTTTATTTATAATGAAATATTGTGTTTTATAAACGCATGATAAATTTTTTTTTTCTTTTTTTTTTTGAAAAAAAAATATAATATATGTATTATATATTTATATAAATAATAACTTACTCCATCATTACGTTCAAATAAAACCACTCGTCCTCCTTTGTCACCAGTGGCGAGATAATCACCCGTGTGGTCAAATTCCACGGTCGAGATAATGTCAGCTGCATAGTGGAAATATAGTTGTCAGACCTATAGAATCTTTGTTGCAAAAGAAACCGACATCAAAATGATTCACGATCTGGCACTAAAAGACAGTATGTATACTATCTGTACAAATCCGATCACATATACATAGTTCAAACTAATCTATCCAAGGCATAGTTAAATTATATTATATATTCAATTCAGCAAATATTTTGTTGATCTGTAGCAGAGATAGTAAAATATTGCTTAAACACGGTCAAAGAGTCAATCCTAAGTGACAGGAGCACTCTCACGAAAATTTACGAGTGCGATAAGAACTTTGAACTAAAGACTCATTGCACATCCAAATGTTTACGTTGGAACTCACAAAGACAGTCTCATCACTAGCCAGTATGGTTAGATCCAGCCTGTAAAATAATAACTGGGAAGATCAAAAGGATAAGTACCTTCTGTAATGTCCTCGACTTCGCCTTTGTCCCCGAAACATTGAGCAAATTTCCAACCATTATCCGTTTCACCTGCCATATTTAAGGAGAGAAGTAGATAAAGGAGGAGAGTATTAGTTTTTTAGAAAAATCAAAGGTGGTTCGACGCTCCTGTTGTACAACGTTTTTTCAAAAGGTAACACAGCAATATCTCGGCAATAAAGTCACGTGAAATTTAATATTTTCAAAAGCATACAAACTAATTCAAATCTTATTTACACTCGACACATCGCTCTAACTAGTGTCAATGCTAATCTAACCATGCAGATGTAGGTATCTCTAATGGCCCACAGTATTTTTAAACTAATTAGCAAACTTTCACGGCTATCCTTTGCAGCAAGATTCAATACATCTCTTGCGATGAGATGTGATCGAAAATATGCTCGTAAGTATGTTCTCGAAAGAGAAAGTGCTAATGGCAATAATAACCATTACTAACTATCATTCAATAAATGATAAACGTCAAACATCAATTCTCTCCATGGCTTATAACTCATTTGAATTCACTTTCCTTATCCATCTTATTTCAATTACTTAATCATTTTACTATTTATTAATATATATAACATACCCAATGATCGTTATTGTACGCAGAATTTTTTTTAGTAAAACAATAAAAGATTTACCGTTACATATATAAGTTACGATATATTTACGTTGTAACTACCTAAAAGATAAAAGATACCGACATGTATCTGCAATTAAATAAATTAATTTAATTTAAAAATTATAATCAACACTATTATCGTTATAAACTGGTTTGTACTGTAACATACTGTACATTACAGCATTACATAATGTTAGATAGAACTTACATACTGTATATATATCCCTAAATACAGCATATACGTACGTACGTGATACGTATGAGTATTTTCTTATAGACCAATTTTAAAAAAAATATACATATAAGTTATAATTTATTTATCCAATTTAGTAATTCAAATGAATATTATGAATATCTACATAAAATTAAACAAAAAAAACTGCACTTAGGAATCCATCATTTAAAGTAAAATAATAATAATAATAATAATAATTGGTGTTTAAAGAGAATTTTATTTAGATAGATTGTATTGTTAAGTCAACAAATTTCTAGATAGATAGTACATGCGTTTTATTCTTGAAATTTATAAAATATTCGCTTAAACAATATTTAGTTATCTACATAGTTCGAAAATACATCTGGAAAAAGGCTGTAGGCTTAACGTTAATTGATAATTATTCCAAGTTTTTATTTGATGTAGCATGAGTGTGGTCTAACCATTTATAATCTTGTAATCACTACTTTAAATCACTGAAGAAGTTCCAGCAACGCTTGTTATTTCATTGGTTGGTTATGGTACGATTTCTCGAAAGAATATAATATGACTAGGGTGTTCTCAAGCAATGGATCGGAGGTAAATTTTAATTAGTCGGAAATTGAATAAATTAATCGAGTTGCTATTTTGGGGAGGGGGGTACCTGATAAATGTCTATGTCTATACCCTAAGTAAAAATTTCTCAACAACCATTTATTCAAAATTTTTTTATTTGAACTCTAAATAAAATAAAAATTTTTTATCAAATTTATATAAGTGGCTATCAAGAAATATTAATAAAGGTTAAAGAAAATTTTGTCACAGTTTTTATTTTAGAGATACTTGAACTTTGAACGGAGATTATTCAACAATTACTCAATCAATCTTGATCAAATTTGTTTTATTTAATTCTATGAATCTATAAAAAAAATTTGATCAATTATAATTGCTGAGTAATCTTCATTCAAAGTTTAAGATCTATAAAATAAAAATTTCTTTAACTTTTAATAAATATTTTTAACACCCATTCATAAAAATTTTTTTTATTTTAATTCTATAAACATTTGGAAATAAAAAATAATTTTCATCGAATTTGGATAGATGGGTGTCAAGGAATCTTCGAATAAAATTTAAAAAAAGAAAATTCGCCCGATTTTAGCTTTTTTCTCAAGATACAGTATAATAAAGTTAACTTTTAATTATAAAAAGTTGAATTTTTTTATTTTTTATTTTTAATTTTTATTTATTTTATTATTTTATTTAATTTTTATCTATTATTTTTTATTTTTTAATTTTTAATTATCTTATTTAATTTTTTATTTATTTTATTTTACTAACAAATTTTCATTTTTATAAATTTATTTATTATTATTTTTATTTATTATTAATTTTTTTTTTTAGAATCTAAATACATGCCCAAAAGTATATATATATCACAAATTAATAAAAAACATATATGTAGTATCAAATATTAAGTACTGTAGTGCACTGACCAAAGTACCCGGGGTCCAATACAATATAACCAAAAAAAAATTATAAAGTACCTGTGGGTATCTTAATCGGTAACAGGTATCTTGTATGGGGGTACTTTGTATGGTCCTATATATATAATGCAGAAATCAATATGTGTTAATATGAAAAATGCTATGCAAAATACCTAGATATTATCCTTGGTTAAAAAAAAAATGCTATACAAAGTACTTAGGTATTTTGAGTGGGGTATGCAAAAAGGGAGGTACTTTGGTTAGTTTATTATTTTATTTAAACCTGTTTCTAAAAATATACTAATTCTAACTTAATCTTTAACTTTAATTAAATTCCTATTTATTATTACATACTACTGTATTCAGACCATTTTATTTGCATTATCTTCAAACTATTTTATTTAGCACTAGAATTTAAATTATACTTATTTACTATTACTTACTCTTTGGCCTGTTTCATCATTCTATTTGGCTCGAAAGTAATACTTATTATTATTTAATATTTTACTATATTGATACATAATAATATGCATGAATATTATTTTGAGTCAAAAAGAAATTTTCAAAAAATAAGAGTTTTGAAATAATACCTATGTGTATTATTATATGCCAATATAGTAACTTATTTTATTCACACTAATTATCTTATTATTAATAATTGAAGATAAGATTTGTAAATTAATTTAAAAAGTATAAATATAAATACTTATTTACTAATTACTTTTCAACCTATTTTATTTACATTAATAATTTTATTTGGAAGAATAAAAGCTATAATTAGTAAAACTAGTTCTTAAAACATAAGCATAAATATTTATTTTTTATTACATACTCTTTAATTATTTTATTTGACTTGAGGTTAGTTATTAATTATCAGAATTAATTTAAAAATTTGCAAAATCAGTTTATATAAATCTTTTTATTTATATTATCTATTCTTAATCTGTTTTATTTACATTAACTAGCTTATAACCCATCGCGTTGCTTCGGAATTAAATATTATTTTATATAAATATTATTATAAAAGTTTCTAAATATATAAAGCAAGTTAATATTTTATATAT